ACATGAAAAAGAAACAGATGAACAGAATAAAATGATCATCGTCCCGACAAATGTATAAGCAAAGCAATGTTATTTAGCAAGCTTGGTGGTTGTAGTTGATTCCTTGAAGTATTTCAGAAATATTGAGAAAGGTTGCATCTAATGATTGTAGAGTAGTGATAATGACTTCTATTCTTATGGGAACATCATCTTCATCTACTAATAAAAGAAGCATATCAAGTTCTCAACCAGCTTCAAATAATTACAGGATATAGGTGAATGTTGACTGTGTGTGCCCAGGTATCCTATGTAAATGTGTAATATTTTTAATTGTTCAAAGTTGATTTTTTGTGTTGTGAAAAATAATGATGGGAAAACATGTATTTTGAGAATGAAGATACATTTTAAAAACTATTGAATTTTTGTTTTTATTGTAGTTTATTTTATTACATTTCAAATTCAATCACTCAAAGAGATACAAAGAATTTGACAAATACAGAATTATAACAAAATATTTAAATTTAGTTGAGCCTGAGATCTTTAGAGCCCATTTCTTGTGTTCCCGCCCATCATTTCACGGATTACCGACACTTAAGGGTGAGCAACGGTGCAGTTCGGTGAAAAACCGCAAAAACCGAACCACAAAAACCGAACCCAGCAAAAATAATAACCGAACCGCACCGCAATCTAGGAAAAAACTGAACTGAAACCGAACATTTTTTTTTTACGCAAAAATAACCGAAACGTACCCCAATGCACGGTTCGGCTCGGTTCGGTTTTCCTATACATTTTATTCAATTTGGTGTGGTTCGGTGCAAAACCACACCGAACCGAACAAAACCGAAAACCGAACTTATGAAAAATTATAACCGCACCGCATCGAATTGCACGGATCGGCTCGATTTTCGGTTTTGGCTCTGTTTTGCCCACCCCTACCGACACTTTTCGGCATTGCATTAAAATCGATTAATGTATTATTTTTGAAAAATATCAATAGGAAAAAAAAAAATAAATACACCAAAGATTATCGAAACGAAAATTGGATTGCATTGACTGACTCGATTTACAAACTATTAATCTTTAGTCACAACACTGAGTTCCATAATTACACAAACTATTTCAGCATTTCTTGGGGCTGAACTGAACACGTTTACAGTCTTCGCTATTTTTCCCAGTTTCAACAATAATCCACAACTCTTGCAAACTAAACGAGACAGAACGGAGGCCAAGATTTTGTTCTGTGGCACGTAGAAATGTAAAAAAGACCAAAAAGGAATTTATTTTTCGAGAGGAAAAAATGGCGAGGCCTTAGCTGGCTTAAGGATCTTCATGAATGAAACAATACGAACAACACTTCTGGAGTAGCTACAAAGAGAACCTCAAAACGTTCGGGATTGAAGCCGGGCCGAGGTTGATCAATATTCGAGCAAATTCGGCGAGACAAGCTGAACATAAGACTGAGATGCAGCAAGTGGAAAAAAATATACTTGTTTGTAAATCACAGGTCCAATAAAACACGAAAATAGAAACGGGTATGGATTTTACGGGGAAGAATGTAAGATACGAATCTTGATCAGCAGGGGATTCCCCTGCGACAACTCAAAGCACCAGCAGTGGAAGTGAGTGGGCCCACCAAGGAAGACGATTTTGCGGCCAGGCTGGAGGCCCTGGCGTAGCTAGCGGCAGCCCCACGGCCCGAGCGGGTGAAATATGCCCCGTTCAGCAAGAGATCACCCTCCGATCTCCAATTCCAGTGCCTCCAGTTGTCACCGGGACCTATCACTCTGTGGGTTACCTGTCAAGGTGGAACGGAACATATTCGGTTTAAGTTCATATATATTTGATTGTGAGTAGTTGAAGTGTTGTTTTTTTGGAGATAATAATTGAACCTCCTTAGCAAAAGGGTTGACTGGAGCTAGATATCTGTTTCCCTGGCTGTTGATGGTCGGGTTAGCACTACCACCAATAGCATACATCTCCCAATGTGTGTAGTCATTGTTCACCACATGGAAGTATCCATGCCTGCACCTGTTATTGCCCCAAAATGTTTATCACATACTTAAATCAGGCCATGAAAAATGTTTATATATATATATATATTTACCTCGGCATTCTTTGGATGAGGCCCTCTCCAAAATGGTTGTAGGCAATGGTGACCTGCATAACCTTGTCCCTGGTGTACGAGTCGCTGTGCCCCAATAACATAACCTGTTTCACACATATAAAAGATGAAGCAAGATGGTGACGAAGTTTCTTGAATAAACATGCACGGGCACGCACACAACCGACCTCATTGTGATGAGTGAAATAATTATTGGAAATGGTGATTGCTGTGGAGCCCATGATGGCATCGATGAGCCCATCCGCGCAGCTGGACAAGGAATTATGATCGATCCAAATATGAGTCGACCCGAATATGGATATCCCGTCCCCATCAGCAATAGTCCTCCAGCCATAGTGGCTCGGGGAGCTGCGCACCATAGCATTCCCTGTGGGCTTGCAGTCGTGGATATGAAGGCCGTGGATGATGATGTTGGTGACAAACTGGATGGTGATACACGCCCCATTGGCAATGTGGACGTTGGCCCCACGTGCATCGATGGTCTTGAAGCTGTTCATGATGAGCTCTTGCTTGAGGGTGATGACCATGTCTCGTTTGAAGACAATCCACAAGGGTTGGTCCTGGATGACAGCATGGCGGAGGGTGCCCGGCCGGGGATTCACGGGGTCATCGTCGCCAGGGTCCGTCACCACGTAGTAGCGCCCGTCGCGCCCACCGACGGCGTTGCGTCCGAAGCCGATGGCGCAGTCAGCCAGGCGACGGCGGTTGCGCATCCAGTTGCGGTCGCACCGCCAACAGTCGTCGATAGGGTTCCCTGTCCCGCAAGAGAAGAATCCCAGATTGCGACGACTGCTGCTGCTGTTGCGGATGGCCCTGAGGAAAAAAATTAATTAATAATGGTTCAAATAACAAAGTATGTCCAATATTCTTAATGAGTTTGTTTAGGTGTGTGTATTCTAGCTATTGCTTATGGTATTTTGATAAAAGTAGTTATTGTCAAGCATCAAATTTTTTAAATTATTGATTCATTGGTTGATAATCAATTGATGCATAGACTAAAAAAAAACTAGTGCTTCATGGGAAGTAGTTGGAGTTGTTGAAAATCTTAATGTGTCATCATGTTTGTGGAGCTTCAAGTTAGATGGTCAAGTAATGGATGAGTCTTGGGGAGAGTTAAGTGGGTGTGGGGGCAAACAACATTAGATGAGCTGAGGCTGCAAACAGAGTAGTAAAAAGTGCATAATAGATAGAGTATTGAATGAATGGAAAATGCTACAATCTCGTTACGGAATCATTCCGTCGAGATCTGTAACCGTTAGATCATCATGTAACTGTCGTGTATAGTTGATCTAACTGTTACAAACCCCGACAGAATGGTTCCGTAACGGATCTTAGGATCTCTGAATAATAATAATAGTAATAATAATAATAATAATAATAGTAGGGAGGTCAATACGGAAACAAGCACCAACCTTTGTGGGCATAATGTACAGTTGGAAGAAATAAATGCTGGCGAGTTGGGGTTTGGGATAATTAAATTCTGTGTTGGGAGGCGTCGGTGACTAGGCAGAGCGGTCTCATTTAATTTTTTCAAACCAAATAGGGTGACGTGGCAGTGGGGTCGAGTAAGTAGATCTATAGTTTTCACATCAACTTTACCTGGCCCTCTATACGCCTTAAATACAACAAAATGCAAATGCTGGCGCTGCCCAGGCGGGCCTTACCAAAAATATACCTTCCTGCTTACTGTAAAAATATTACTATGTAACAGACACTGTCAATTCACTTTTGACTACTTGCCTCTGCATTACTCGTAGCAGATGGTTATGTGTATTTATTGCAGGACACGTGTCGATACACTATTTGTGGATAACTACGGATGACTCTGTAAGTCGAGCCCGAGGACTTCATAGCAAAACCGATAAGTAACGACGAAGTTTAGAGGCTATGAAGGGAAATAAACAGTGTATTTGGGCATCTAAAGGGAATAAGGACAAACATGGATCCCAGAACAGGGGCACGTGCTTAAGCTGGCCAATGCCAAATATTAGCCAAACTTTATCCCATATTGTTGAGAGGGTTTGGCGCTAACAGTCTCATCAATCAATTAAATTGATTAATAAATCACCATAAATAATTATATTTAATTATTCCACAAAAGGGTCCTTTCATGTGGCATGTGCTTATATGCAAATTCCACAGGACAGTTCCATGTTATGTAGAAACAGATTCATTATTACATAATTTTAATATACTTTTCCATGGAATAAATAAGGAAATTATACAAATTGAGAATGGGACATTTTTTTTTTTTTTTGCATTTATTATATTTAGCATTTAATTCTTCTGCTGTAGATGTTGTACGGATCATGTGAGGGGTTAATTCGAAACATAACACATCACATGTACTTCTGGGAGATTAATGTATGTTTTAATTTTTAATTGCAAATCGGTTATGTTTTAAGTAATTATAGTTACTGGAGATTTAGAAGATATAACAGAACTAGAAAGAGATCGATCACAAGTGAATAATAGGTTATAGGGAACATACATATCGACCATGGTAGCTACAGCTTCTGGATCATCTACTGCTGCTGCTGCGTGTTCATGTTTATATTGTCGTGATCTGTAAACAATGATCAAAATACATATTCGTTTACACTGAAATCAACTGATGTTTCACTTGTAATTTTTGTGAATCGTAACGTAAAAACCAAATTAGAAATGACATTACTTTTATGAACTATATACATCTAGATTTACCAAGAGATAAACTAACAGGAAATGCTACGGTCCCATTACGGTACCATCCCGTCGGGTGTTTTAACCGTAATGGGAACCCGTAGCATTTCCCCTAAACTAACATTGATCTGGATAAGGCACTAGTGAAAAAACTGGTTAGGTCATGAAAATATGATGTGGTTTTGTTACACGTGAAAATTCTCAGAGATCAATAAAAAAATGAAAATTCCATGAATCCAAGGGGCAATTAAGTAAATAGCAAAAATGTACTGTCACGCGATTTTAATTGTGGTGGTGGCCGGTGAGATGTTCAAAATAATAAAAGTGCAACGGAAAATACTGATACCACCACACCACTTTACAGATCCAAAATCACGAAAATCGGTTCCGTAAACATAGGCTATTTTGATAGACAAATAAGTTAGCTTATAGCTTATTTGGTTAGCTTATAAACTTCATGTATTTAAATAAGACTCGTTTGGTAGGACGAGTTTTTTTAAGAAGCTCGAACTTTTTTTATAAGCTTTATTAGGTACTTTTCAAATAAGTTAGTTGAAATTTTAATTCAGCTAGTTTATCAATTAATTTTACCTAGCACTCTTATCATATAAACTAGCTTATCAGCTATAAGTCATAAGCTATAAATTATAAGCTAAAAAATCACTGATAAGCTATAAGCTAATTTATCAGCTAGTTTTACCAAACATAGCCATAATTTCTCTATTAATTACTTAATACATAAAAAAAGGCCCTAAATGCAGGGGACAGATCACTGCTGGTCGTTATTATTTACTTACCTTTCCGCCATTGTTAAGTTTCTCAAGCTCTTCAGCTGAGTGCTTTTTTCATCGCTGCAAAAATATAGATAATTAGGCGACAGAAATAAAAAAAAAAAAGGAAAAATTCACATCTCTGGAGTTTTTCATGTAACCATTACAAACTAACTGAACAATTAATCGATTTAATTATCAAAAGAAGAAAATTCAGCTCGCGTATAAACAGAGGAGATTCCAGAAGAGAATGGAAATTAAAACAAAAAGACGCTGAAAATTGCAACAACTTGAAAACGGATCAAAATATTGCGACCAAAATTTACCTCTCTGTAGCAGAAATCGCAGTGGCGAACAACACTGTAACAAGCACTGCAAAAACAACACTTCTCGTAACAGAAACGGCCATTTTTTTGGCCACAGGAAACTGAATTTTCTGTTCCTATGAATACAATGTATCTATATAGATGTGTGTGTGTGTGTGTGTGTGTGTGTGTGTGTGTTTGTGTGTGTGTGTGTGTGGGAGATGAAGGCAAATGAGGAAAAGAATTTATTCTGTGTGTCGAGGGAAATGCTGAATGCGAGAAGCTCATTTATAACAAGAGAAGAAAAGAGGGAAGGAGGATGATATTTCAGCGCGGGGTTTAAGTTGGTACACATGGTAATAATGCGCACTTTGTTAATTGCATGTTTTCTGTCTTATTATGAGAAATGTTATGGTCTCGTTACGGCACCATTCCGTCGAGTGTTTTGATCGTTGGACCGTAGCATTTTCCCTAATTTATTATGATTATCTGACTTCTCCAAATGATTTTTGCATCAATTTTTTTATTTATTTTTTTATTTTTATAAGTGATAGGAAAAAAAAAAAATTATCATTTTTACAGACAAAAAATAAATAAATAAATAAATAAATTATTCATTTTTACAGAAAAAAAAAATACGTGAAGTAGATGTCATAACTCTAATTAAGTTTGCAAATTCATCAAAACATTTATTCAGATAATCCATTTAGTATTAGTTTGTTCACGTGGTAGAATTACAGTTCACAATTACGGACTAAAAGCGAGTCAATCAACGAATCCAAAAACAACCAAACATAGATCGTACAATGGGTAGAAACTTTAATTAGTCAAAGAAAATGGGGGAAATAGATGCGGACCTGCTAACATGAAGCGCACCAAAACGGAAAAAGTCCATATAAAGTTTAAATGGGGTTCCATCTCAAAACCAATTGGTGGAAGGAGGAGTAGTCCATCAGACTTATAAAATAGGTCTATTTTCCATGTAGAAACAGACTCCCATAAACGGTATGTGGGCCCAAGTCCTACTAGAAACAGGCTGGGTAGACGGGTACGTCATCGCACGACTCCACATAGAACCGGCTCTGATACCATGCAAGAAACTGTGGGATAACGGGTGCTGACCCACTAACATGAAGCGCACCAAAGCGGGGAAAACCCATATGAAGCCCAAATGGGGTTCCATTCCAAAACCAATTGGTGGAAGGAGGAGTGCAACGCCCCATATTTTATTAATAAAGGAAAGATACTAGCTTTTAAATATAAGCTAGCATTTGTTAATAAATATTCATGTTAATGTTCAAGTTTAAGTTATTCAGCTAGTTTAATTCCAAGTTCGACGTTAAGTCGAAAGTATATCTGGTTAATTTTATTTATTAACCGAGTCAATGATAGTAACTAATCTCAGTCCGTTTATTTAATAAATGGACATCAGCAAGTTGGGATTAATTATTCCTATGTTGACGTATTAATTGAATTGAGAATATTCGATTGATCGTCAAATATGAGTTTCGAGCCCAGTTAATAAGTTATTCAGA